TTAATTCAGCTAATTAAATTCTTATATGTTTTATTATTATATATAGAGAGTAGTACTGTTAATAACTTGACTTGTCTATTTTATTAAATTATTATTACTTATATTAACAGACCAAGAGTAATGATTAATACTTATATAGCTTGGTCAGTTATTTCTTCTTGATTTCACTGAGATTATAATTGAGATAAGTTTAAGATTATAGGTATTTGAACTTTATCTTCTAATTTTTTTTCTTTTATATCTTTTAACTAAAATTATTATTATGATGTTTTATATTCTTTTAATAATAATAAAAAAGTTTTATATCACCAGTCTGATAGTTTAATTAGAAAAAATTTTTGTAATAACTTGCAATTAGAACAACTCTCTCAGAAAAAACTAAAAAATCATAACTTATAAACTTTATTTTAATTAATATAAAGACAAAAATTATTTTTTAATAAATTATAAATTTTAATATAAAGAGAAAATTTCAATTTTTACTATGTTTTATTAATAAAATTAACTATTTTCATAATTTTATTAACTATTGTAAGTACTTGTTATACTTAATAATTTTAATTTAAAATAATGAATTTGATATCTGGTTGAATGAATGACTTGAATTTGAATTTTATATAACAATTAGAAATTGATCTAGTGATCGACACGTGCTTCGAAACGTGTTTAAATTAATGTCTCTTCAAAAAAAGGAATGGCCCGCGTGGGCTGCTTCGTATCCCCTCTTGAATCAAGTATGGATAAGACCATTAGTATCGATAACGCAAGACTCACAAACCGAATTTACGGGAAGGGAATTTCCTGGACAAATTTATCAAGTAATATTTATTTTTATTTGCTTAATTATAGGGTTTCTTATTAATCTATCGAAATTAGGTAAACGAAGAAAGTGTGGAGATATGGAACAGGAAAAAAGTCAAGTTTGTTGATGCCATGGTTCATGACACTCAATATTGTTTTCCTTGCAAATTTCCTCCGCTAATCGATAATGAGTAAGTTATTATTTCTCATGTAGGGAATTAAGAAAGATAGTTTAACATAACTGAACAT